TTTTTAATGTCAATAGACAAATAGGGGGTCACGGTGGCTAAGTGAGTAGGACGCTGACTCGCTAGCCTGGAGGTCGGGTGTTCGATCCCTGCATTGGCCGAGAAAGTTCATCCAGATTTCCCGGCGTGGTCCCCCCTTGTCAGTGATGCAGGACGGAGGGCCTTGACAAGGACAGCTGTCTAGTCATTCGGGTGGGACGAAAAACCGAGGTCTCGTGTACACATTGACGTGCACGTAAAAGATCCCTTGACAGTTGGAATTCGATATAAGAGTAGGCCGTAGTGCCGCCGTCCGGGCAAAATTTCCCTCATAGCACACTGTATGGCGTATGCCCGTCTTCATTAGCCCACTTCGGAGCAAAACAATAGGACGTTAAACCTCATTTCTTTTCTTTACAGATTAAGGCTCTACAATATATACAAGATTAATTTATAATACTTACAAATGCCTTGTCTCTTTCAGTATGAAATTTAAATAGATGGGTTATTTTATGGGGGTGGGGTGGGGTTTTTTTTATTTGTAGTTGTTTTGTTATATTTAGTAAAATTCTCTGCTTCTTTTTGACTTTTTGATTCATGTTTTACCCCTATGCTTATTGCCATCCAACGCATGAACACTGTAGGGACTCCGGTAGACTATCTAATACCAAGCATTTTATTATAATAAAGTCCATTTGTGCGGAAGCTAAATTTGCCTATTGCAGTGTGTTTTTACTGACTTCAATGTTGTATAAAGTATTATTTAGACATTTATTCACATGACAAGTCCATAATCAACTCTCTAGAACATCTGGCGGCGTTAAACGCTAATATGACCAAGCCCATATTTTCTGAAAATGTATGCCACCATTCAGGCAAACTGTCGATTAAAGGTCAGGCAATGTAGTTATAAACAGTTTACTATTCTTATATTATAAGGTTCGAAAACTGTATTAAAAGTATTATTTGGATTAAAAGTAATACAAATTTAATTGCACCCATTCAATATATTCATATATTTGTTAACTATTATAGCAAAACAGTCAGTTCTTTCTCTACATTTCACATAATACATCTACATATTTAATATTATTATGTCGTGAACTGCCAGTGGAGCACATGTACATGCACTTGAAGATTTCATGACTCAAATGTAACCAAATTATCTTGCAGCAGTCGTGCATAACTACATAAAAGGGACATTATAGTAAACAAAAAACCTAGATTAATTAAATCCAAACGTTTCGTATATATAATAGATTTTACGACCTTAAAAACCATTATACATTACACTATAGTTACATTAAAGGAGCTAAATCGCTAATATTTGGGACCTAGAAATTGACACAATGGGTCGCAACGCATATAATAATGTAATATGAATATATATAAACTGATTTACATTCAATGGTTTCTGTTTTTTCTCTAATTTGTAATCAGTTATGTTCGGCGAAATACGCAAGAAGTCTCAATCGAATGGCAATCTCTAGCGACTGGTTATTCCATTCTACACCGATAGTATTTATTGCGCATGCTCTAGCTGGCCGGTCTGCGATATCACTTCGGTAGAAGCAGACGTTAAATAAAGCTATTTCACACACACACACTGGCCGATCACCTCTGGCTTGCGGTTATGGTTTAGATCCCGGGTGTGAACGTATGTGGCTTGGAGATAGGGGCGCCTTCTCAACCTCGTGAGTTTACTCCAGTGCCCCGGTTTCCTCCCTCAGGAAAGACCCCAAGTCGTGAACTAAGATAATAAAAATGAAAATAAGACATCTAGAATGATGGATGCCAAGTATCCCCCAGTGGCATTAAACACAGCATAACGACTTCTAGCCGAAAAACAATCCACATTGTTATTCAAGCAGCGCGTAACGAGCTGTTTGTTATTCGTTTTTCACCTCGTTATTTGGGATTCACATATGAAAGTGTTCAGGTATCTTGAATAACAATCTGGTTTATTTATCGACTATACGTCATTTAACCAGTTTTATACTGCTAGGGGATACTTTGCAATCCATTATTCTATTGCTGTCTAGTTATCGTTATTAATTTAATCCTGAAATATCCTCATTAAAGAAACATGAACTTATTCATATGTTATTCGCTAATAACAAGGCAGGCCAATTTGTTATTCGTTATTCACCGCTTGAATAACAATCTGGTTTATTTACCGACTATACATCATTTAATCATTTTTATGCTTCTAGGGGATACTTTGCAATCCATTATTGTAAAGATAACTGAATACCAATCTGATTAAAATACAGATCTATATTTCTTTGGGGTTTTTTATACTTTCGATGGCCTATACTACATGAATATCTGACAAGTTGTACTCGAAGGCCGTGTCAGGGGTCGTACGAGCGGCTTTTGACCCTATGACGCCAGACACTACTTAATCAATCAGCGATGACGTTTCTAGTGGTATACCCACAGTTCCGTGCATGGCACGCCAAGAAGTCGCAGTAACCGACCGTTTCATTGGCTTATCCCTCACTCCAACCAAAATGCCGGTAATGTAACAACTCCTCCAGATCCTAGTGTAGTAAAGACAAGTAAACGAGAGAGAGAGAGAGAGAGAAAGAGAGAGAGATGGGTTTAACTTCCAATCGACACAAACTAGATTATTTCGGGACTAGCACATGGTTCAACTTCATTTCAATTATTCGCTTGCGCGTAGGAGTCTTTAGCAGTGGGAGGAAATCGGAGGATCCGGAGAAAACCCACGAGGTTGGACAGGCGACCCTACTCCTTGTCACGTACAAACGGGGAATCGAAACGACGCCAGTTGACTCAATGACAGACCTTATGATACAGCGCGCACGTCCCCCCCCCCCCTAAAAGTAAAACGAAATTTTAAACTATAAAAACGAACCGAAATAGGATCTGTGTGTTAATCAGATTGCCTGAACATCTTCATATGTGAATCCCGAATAACTACGTGAAAAGGAAATAACAAACAGCTCGTTATGAATAAAAATGTGGGTTGTTTTTCGTCTACATGTAGATACGATGGCTGATAAGGGGCATTGAAAATAATAATAAATTTCCACCCAAGTCAATTTTAATATTTTTTTTTTTTTCAATTTTTACCCAAGTCAATTTTAATATAATTTGTTTTTTATAATTTTCACCCAAGTCAATTTTTATTTCCACCCAAGTCATTTGTAATATAATTTTTTTTTTTTTTATAATTTCCACCCAAGTCAATTTTAATATAATTGGTTTTTTATAATTTATAAAGTCAATTTTAATTTTCACCCAAGTCATTTATAATATAATTTGTCATTTGTAATATAATGATGGACCATTTTGCCCGGACAGCGGCGGTCCCGCCTATTCTTCTTTGAAATCCCGTTGCTGGGGTGGGGTGGGGGCTTTGGTTGGTAAAATAAACGTGCAGGGGTCAACACAATCTTAGTCGGGATTTGACAGTGAAACGCATGCAAATGAAATGAAATGTAATGAGGATTTAAAGTCCTACTGTTCTGCCCGATTGGACTAATGAATGCAGTATGCCAGAAGGAAAATTTTGCTCTGACAGCGGCACTACGACATCTCTTATATGATTTTTCAATAGGCCCATGTGTATTAGGGACCTGGGTATTGATATTAGCATGCACCCACCATAGGCAACGCTTACGAACATCCAGATATCGAATTCATGGCTAGCTTCATATTTGAATCCCGAATAACAAGCTGAATAACGAAAAACGAGGTAGCTTATCTCTCGTTATTCGTTATTCATCGCTTGAATAACAATCTGGCTTTTTGGTAAATAACGAATGACGAGTAACGAAAAATGATTCAATTTCACACTGCCGAATAACACTGGATATGGGAAGCCCATCTTTTCCCGGTAAGATCATAACATCAATGTGGATTTAAATTGACAAATAATTCGTGTTTTCAATGTCGAAGATTTTGGATGATATTGGATTAGAGACTTGGCTACTTAAAGGAGCTAAGTCGCTAATATTTGGGACCTAGAAATTGACACAAATGGGTCACAACGCATACAATAATGTAATATGAATGTATATACATGTAAATTGATTTACATTCAATCGTTTATGTTTTTACTGTAATTTCTAATCAGTTAGGTTCGGCGAAATACGCCTGTATTCTCAATCGAATTTCAATCTCTAGCGTCTGGTTTTTCCAGTCTACGCCGATAGTATTTATTGGGCATGCTCTCCAGATAAGAATACAGCGTCACCGTTTGACATGACTTGTGGAATATGCCTAGCCTCGTTTTTCGAGTCCTTTACTACAAATAGGGCTGAAAGCATTATGGTACACGATTCGTGTACCAATTGTAAAATGTTTGTTTTGTCTTAAATATTGGATGTCAGAAGGTTATCTTTTCCCGGTAAGATCATAACATCAATGTTGATTTAAAGCGACAAATAAATCGTGTTTTCAATGTCGAAGATTTTTGATGATATTGAGTTAGAGACTTAGCTACTTTAAGACGTAGTAGTAAATGTGGTATAACATGTGTGATACATGCAAATGGTTAATCCTTTTGTTCCATATATTAAGTGAATTTTAGCAAGTTGAAATTATTATGAGTTGTATTTTCAACAGAACGAATGGACTCATATCTATGATACTTATAAATGAATATTCTCCTAGTTTCGTATCAGAAGAATTTTATTTAAAACCAGTTAAAGTTTGGTAAAATGACAAGAGTCCATGGAATAAGCAACTGGAAAAGGTCCGTGTGTCAATTAAAGAATATTTATTGTCGTAAAACTACAATTAACACTTGTCAACTGACAGTTAACTACAGCTACAATTGATACATTTCTGCAGTCGTATTGAAATATTTGTCAATTGAGAATTGTTCGTATCGCTGCGATAATAATACGTTGTCAGTATGTTCAGTTGAAACATGTCCGTAATAAATTTCAACTTTTCTTCCTATCGTTTGATTGATGAGTTTATATTGATTATATCAAGTGGCGCGTGCAGAGTAAATATCCGCGCTTCCATCAGCCTCTTTACGCCCAGTCACGCAGTACACTTCCGCGGACTATATAAATCCCAGTTTTATCTTGATTCGTTCATTAAGAAGGGACAATCAAGAATTTTAAAAAAAGAAAGGCAGACAGTTAAAGAAAGAAGAGAAAAGTGAATTCAGTGGAGGTATTAGCTGTTTTAACAAAAAGGTATATTGTATTCTTGTTTTTTTTGTTGGTTTTTTTTGTTGGTTTTTTGTTGTTTTTTTTTATTATTTCAATAATCCAAACATCTATTTGATTGTATTCTAAAATAGTCATTGTGTTAATGACAAATAGCTTTCACGATAAAAATAAGTGGCTTACTGAAAGAAAAAAAAACAAAATCATAAATCTATACGAAAATATTTCTAAAGTAATGAAAATTTGAGACTTATGACTTATTTAAAATAATAGTTGATTTCGAATCGAAGTTGTGACCGTTCACTTAATGAAATGTATTACTGCACACATTTAACTTTCCATAATATCCCAGGAATATTGAAATGGTGTTAATATTTACTTCATTGCGGAGGTTGGGAGTGTTGGTGGACCAATTGTAATGTAAAGTAGGTTCGACTCCACACTTGCACGTGACAAGGAGTAGACGCGATTGCTAAAGCCCCTACGCGCAAGGCAATTATTTGAAATAAAATCGTACCATATGTTCGTCTCAAAATGTCCTTTTTGTCGTATCTCTCTCCCTCTCGCCCTCTCCCTCTCCGCCGTCTAAAGATAAGACTATTTAATCACATATAAGCCAAATGTCAACAATTTATAAAGACTGGAGATTAAAAGATTAAATAATATACAACTGAAAAATTAGGGTATTATAGAAAATAAAATCACACTATATGTAATAGCACATGGGGGTTGAAATGTACAATCTCCTTGACAGAAATTTTGAAATATTAAACTCATTAACAGAAAATCAAATCGTGATATAAACAACTTATGCAATTTTCTTGAACGTTAAAAATATTAATATGTTTTGCACAACAGAAATAAATCATAAACCTTACTAAACATTGGCATATAAGTGATTAACTATATTTAGGGACCTATTGTTGTAAAAATTATAAATATCTTCATTTACCCCTGGCATTTTGCATGCAATCAATATGAATTATAGGGAGTGCTAATATAATGTAGAACGAAGCCAACTAATACAAAATCTCTGATCGTTTTAAAATAAACCTGCTTATTGGCTTATGTAATGTCGATAGATTTAGAAGATAAAGTAGACTCTAGAATTCTCTTGGCCATTTGGCGGGACAGGGGATTTGTGTGTGTGTGTTGGGGTGGGGAGGGGACTCGTGAGATGATGTGCATGAGATAGTGTATGCTTCCTTTTTCCCAGAACACTCTGTCGGTCTATTATATTGCGTTACACGTGCATTAGTTCATTCAAATTAAATTAAATATTAAAATTGATTATTTGTCGATTGGTATTACTTACGGAATAATTCCGTCTAAAACAATTGAAATATCTGTGCTATTTAATTCGTAAAGGAAGAAAAAAATAACTGGTTCCAACAAAAACAGGATCGGGTTTTCTTGTTTAAATAAGACAAGGCAAAGTATTCTGAAAGCGACGTTCATTATTACATTTACGTTTTCACCATCACGGTTTTATAAAGATGCGCAGTGTGTTCTTACAGTGGTTGTCGAGTAGATAGGATTTGCAAAGCCCAGTTTCTGCGGTCAAGAGAGAGAGAGAGAGTGTGTGTGGGCTCGAAACCATGTCATTTGACTCAATAACAGACCTTATGGCCAAAAGCGCACGGGTTAAACCATTCGATAGAAGCCCAGGGGAACATTTAAGATTTGCAAAGCACAGTTTCCGCTATCACGGGCGCCACCTGCAGATGACATGGAGGTCTTCTCTTTAATACGTCGTAAAAGAACGCTTTGTAATTGAAAGAAGCGAATGCGAAATTGTTGTTGCCCGGGAAAAAATATTTTATCCTGCATTACACACTAGTACAATAGTAAATACAATTAACCATATGTTAGTCCCAAAATAAAAGCTCAACACCCATTATAATGGAATACAATCAATGGTTTGTTAAACTTACATAGCACGACGTTTCCGCGATGTTCTTTTATCGTGTTCAAGCAGAAGTTTTCGCTTGAAATCCACGAGCTAGCATTTGTCCAAACGTTGTGCTATATGTATTCGATTATAATAGTTATGTTTTTATCATGCTCACTCGCTATATTCCACACAAGGATTATGGTATCAAAATAACAAAAATATTGTGTTGAAGAAACCTCAGATGTCACTCACCACTTCCGTTCATTTTGAATAAAACAGACAGAAGCACGTTGTCTGATCAGTGGTAGCTTATATATTATACCATTTCAGTTTCAAAATGAACACGATGTAAATTCAAACAATGTAACAACGTATAATAGTTCGGATGGAGGAAAAACCATAAAAGGAAGCTTGCAGGAAGGTTATGCCCTGCTTTTCGTATGCCCGTCTTTATTTTCTAGATTGGTACATAAAGAAGGGAGAGAGAGAAATGGGGTTTAACGTCCACTCGACACAAACTACGTCATTTTGAGACTAACATATGGTTTAATTTTATTTCAATAATTCGCTTGCGCATAGGGGTCTTTAGCAGTGGGAGGAAACCGGAGGACCCGGAGAAAACCCACGAGGTTGGACAGGCGACTCTACTCCTTGTCACGTCGACCGGGGATTCGAAACCACGCCAGTCGACTCAATGACAGACTTTATGATACAGCGCGCGCACGCTAACCATGCAGCTATCCAACCCTCCACATAAAGAAGGACGTTAAACCCAATTTCATTTTCATTTCTTGATGATGCAATCGTCTAGTTCCCCACGTAACGCACTACTAGTAAAAATGTTTATATGTGACGTATATTATTTCCTTATTTTCAGCCAATAAAGATGCCTAGGTTCGGAGTTGCCTTATTTTCCCTGGTTTTAGTTATCCTATTATCAACGTTCACAGAAACAAAATCTATTCACAACAGCCATAGCAGGTAATATTTATTCACAGCTGTACTCTTACAGAGACATTGCCATTTAAATTACCGGTCCTACTAATCACCGACAAGGGTTGGTTTGGGTTAATTTGTCAAAGGTGACCTACAAGAAAAGATATAGATATGCGATATAGATAGGGAAATCCCCAAAAAGGAATGTGTTCGAGTAATTGACAATTTTGCGCAACTTATGCAAGTTTTCCTGCTATGCCGCTTAGGTCACTTGAGGTATATTTTGGAAAGAATGACTTTTATGCAAAGCCACCAAGATAAACTTTGGTGAACGATCGCCCACAGACTGAAGTTCATGTCCTGCAAATTCCTTGAATTTTGCTGGACCTATGAAGATTTAATAATAATTTTATGGGTTCTAGGCTTTTTCTTTTGGAGGGGTCACCCTGGCATTTTATTAAAGAAAATGAGTAGTGTTTGGCGTCTTCTGAAATAAAACTTTGTACTGGAGTGGATATATGACAGATCGCCAGTAGAACAAGTCGGTGGTCGGAACAAATTTTAATCAAGTGCAACTCGTATTCCTTTGGAGAGTTGATCGCTATCTGTGGAATATGTTACTAGCGATGGTCCCCGACCGACACATTAAAGATATAAGTTAATCATTTTTAGAAAATTAACATTTGAGAAAAGTAGAACAAGCATTCATGGACCACATGAGATAACGTGGGAGGGAGGGGCTTTATTCTCGGAAACTAGTATATTGATGACTCGGCGTTGGTTAATTTCCGCCTTTGTCAAATCATAATGCCTTATTAACACCTATTTTTTTTTTTTAATTTCTCATGTCTACAGTGTCGATAGTGATAATTGCTTATGAAAAGTGTCAAGTTACCCCATACGATCTTAACAAGTATCACTGACTATGATGTCACCGCGGCCATCTTGGAATTGTGTCATATCAATAATCGAAGTCAGTCAATTGTCAAAGGAACACGCGTACCTGAATTGGCAGGGCCTTGTGCTTTTTTGAAGAATGTCGGCCCCAAGAACAACCACAAGATGAGTAGTTGAATTCGGGAACTGAGCCAAAACCTTGTAAACACCCCTGCAAACGATCTATATTACTGGAATTTAGATAATAATATGTTCATTCAATCCATTCTGATAAATCTCGAGTAATAAAATTAAACGTGTCAGTTACAATCCCTCCGTCTCGCCATATTGATAACATCGAACGCATATATCGGTGGATAGCTTTCAAAGTAAACAAAGTTAATCAGTTTTACATTTTGTTAAGCAATCAGAACAAATTTAGCTGGGTCCGAATAGCTTCAGATAACTGGTTTGGCTTTAAGCTGGAGTGACTTTCAGTCTGGAGGAACTCACTAACCTATATGTATCACAGTATAGACAATGGAAGTATTAAATCCAGCCATCTTGTTTTCTCTTCCGGTACTGTCTTTTAGAAAGTGAGAAATCCCCACGCGGTTTGTCCAGAACTCCCCACGTACGTGTTATTATTTGTACCCAAATTGGTCTTTAGAATTGTCAATAGCATTGGCTAAGTGAGGGATCAAGTCGGGTCAATAGAACACATACTTTTTAGACGTGTTATTAGACTGCTCTGTAATGTAAATATAAACGACATACTAATACGGTTATTGTCTATTGAAAGAAGGGACGCTAGGTCGGGTAATTGTGAAATAGACTGATTGACATACACATTAAGGATAATATAACTAGTTTTATAATTTTAATACTGAATGCCCCTTCGGTTGGGACGGAAAACTCGTGTTAACCGTTGACAGGTGGAAATCGAAATATATCTCTGATAGCACACTACATGATGTATACCCGTCTTAGTTAGCCAGGTTGCTTTTTCATTTCAAATGCGTTTTGTGTAATATATAAATGTTCTTAAGGAAATAAGTGCTTGGAAACACACCAAACCTTTATAAATGGCAAATCTATATTGAGCATATATTTTATTTGCATTCGGAACATATCTATTGATATTAGGTACTGCATGTCTACTATAATTGTGATCCGATTTCACAGCTTGAGTACAGTATAATCCTTGAGTGGCATTTAGCGATTGAACACATTAAAAACACAACACAGTTTATATGGAAATTCAATCACTGGTTTATAAGTATAGCACGACGTTTCGACAAGTATTCTCTTATCGTTATCAAGCACAAATGATGACACTGGTTTATAAGTATAGCACGACGTTTCATTTGTGTTTGATAACGATAAGAGAATACTTGTCGAAACGTCGTGCTATACTTATAAACCAGTGATTGTATTTCCATATAAACTGTGTTGTGTTTTTTTTTTTGTTTTTTTTTTAGTACAGTAGTCTAAAACTGCATCTAAATAATGTACTCCAACAATAACTCGTCCATTAAATATACTGTTGCTACTGGCCTTAATATTTTGCTTCCTATACAGACATTTTAGTAAATTCTCCAAACATGTTAAGGAAAAAGCTCAAAATGTTCACGTTTTTATAAAGATACATGTGCTTCTTAAGCTCTAGTTTTGAGACTTACCGCGTTTTTGAAGTACCCCGAAATCGACTTCACGGCACCTTCTATTTTAAATAAAGAAGTGATAAGTATGATACACGAGCCAGAGTACGATTACACAGTCTATACCGCGCTATGCCACACATCATTTGCTTGGAAATACCCCCCCCCCTTCTTTGTACTTTTGTATTTCTTTGATATGTAAATTGCATAGATGGTTATAATTAAATTGCAGATCAAAGCGTCAAACTGCGGATTTGAAAACTGCTGAATTTCTAGCTTGGATAGCTTTAGGTGGACGTCATCCACCCCGAGGCTGTCGGGATATAGCGTGTGGAGTTGTAAATGTCCATCACAGGTTTGGTCTATTATAGACGGCATGGAGAATATGAATCGTGGATGAACTATATAACGGGCATGTAAAATACTGCATATGCATTTGAGGATTTAATAATCTCGTGTTGGTTGATATACAAATATAATTATCATTAAAGTGTCTATGACATGATCTCCTTGGTTTGGGTGTTGAATTGGGTGTGTTAATGTCTTTGGCGACATGTACGATCGCTACCGTTTAAATTGTAACGATTTCGACTACCACTAATATTATATTGGACAAAGTAGCATCCATTGTGTTTAGATGACTGGTTGTCTAGCTATTCACGTATACAGTTTACGTAATGACTTTTAGGAAATGGCTCAATCACGTGGTAACAGCGAGTCTTAAATTTTTCAAATACAAGATTAAGGTCATTTTTCATCCGCTCCGCCAATTGTAAAACACAAGAACTGTATGACCCTTGACTCTATATAATATATTAATTGGGTGCTATTTTGTCCAGACTAGTGCTCGCTGTAGTCAGGGCGAGAACAGTTTGTGAGGGAGGGATCGAGGCTAAGCGATATTGAAAACTCAGTCGAAATAAAAGGTTAAGCTTTGGTAGTTTGACCTATCATTAATTAAACTAACACACCATTTAACATTATATTCCTACCTAAATCAACCAGATCACCCACGTTTATTCTCTTATTCTAAATGTGTATTGTGTGCATAATGAATGTTATTAATACGAATAACGTTATATATTATAATTAATTATATATCGTACTGTGTAATGCGCATGTCCAGAAACATTATTCATGTAGCTGAACCACCACGTAAGTATGTTAAATGATAATTTATCAGAAGCATGCAAAGTTTTACAGATCTAATGGCTGAACTAAATGATAGCCTATTAATTCCGTCTACCTGTAGATTCCCAAATTAAGTACGACACAACTAATCAGGTGTCGGTTGTTATGGCGGTCATAATTTATATCGTCGTCAGGAAGGAGTAATAACTCTTATTACATTCACATAGTCATTACTGGTATATAAATCAGAGCTGGAAATAATAAAATACCTGGCACGTAACATATATTTGCGGGTATTACATCAGGAAAATCAATAATGAAGGCGAGCCTATGTTCTGTTATTCATGTCAAAAATAACAAGCCCAAATTGTTTCATTTTTTCTATTGACATACGTCACGTTTAATGAATATTAATAATAACACGTAATGGAAACCAGAAAAATGCAGAAGTTTCCTATTTGTCATTTAAACATACATTATGCAAGAGCTAAATCTGCCTATTGGTTCAGATATAGAAATTATTAATTAGACCTTTATTTACACGACAAGCTCAAAATCAACTCTGTAGCCATTGAGCATGTTACTTGATAATCAAGAATATGTGGGTGGAGTTATCGTATGTCAATCAAACGATCGCCAATTGATGCCTATTTCTAGTCAAAACTTCCAACAGTGACAATTCCGTTCATAACAAAGTAATTTGACTGAAATTTTTAACATTTTCGTTTTTTATCATCTATTTTTGAATTATTATAGCAAGAATGGCCAACTCTTTATAAAACTCTTAACTAATGTATCTTTAAGGGGAAAAGGGAACAATTTCATAACCATAAGTATGCCCAAAAAACTTGAACGGCACTAACCCGGGCGTTAAAACCCCTTTAATATTAACAACTAAAAATTTGGACTTTGTAATTTGAAAGCTATTTTAAGTCGAAACTTATACGAACGCGGCATTATTTTAACGCCCACGAGACCATATGTAACCCTGAAGGTTAGAGATATGAATTTTTTTATGAAAATTTGGAATGACGACTGACAGTGTCTAGCGAATCGTGGCTGATAAAAAATATACTATCTGATATTTTAAAACATACAGGGTACTGATCGAGAGTTAAAATTAGTGTGTCATGTGGACATTTTGACATTATCCAAGATACAATTGACAAGAATGTCTTTTTAAGAGTATACAGCACATCAAAAGAATAGGTCCACCTTTGATATCCAATCCTTCAAAATATTGATTTATGAGACGAATCTGGGAAATATAAAGTCAAATTACAAACGTTATCGCAAAATGATATAGTGAGTTTATGTACCCAAAGCACATACTAGAGAAAATATTGCCGAAACTCACTTCTTAAATTCTGGAAACAATTTTATTCCTTTTGGATACTGTTGCTAAGATATTTTAATTTTACTTCCCAGAGTGAGAAGATCTGGAGCTGATCAAAGAATAGCAGAGTTACAGGCCCTTATAGCTTTAACAAATAACGGAGGTCTTGTGGCTCATGGCCAATTTGATCCACTTAGGATGTACGTAAATATCTGTATAGCCCAAGCCAAACTATCCGCACCTTAATAGTAGCCATCCCTGAACACCAATACCGTCATGTTTTGTGTTTTTATTATGACACCATATTATATCACCTCCACCTGAACACCAATACCCCGAGCTTTGTGTTTTCATTATGACACCATCATCATTACCGCCACCTGAACAACACTACCCCTATTTTTGTATTTTCATAGTACATCACATGTTTTCCCCCACCCCACCCTACTGAAACCCCAATACCCCCAAGCTCCGTGTTTTCATATTACATCACATATTTCGCCCACTTAAACACAAGTTTTCTCCATTTATTAGATTCGTCACCATACAAACCTTTTGTAATTCTAGAAAACCTATGCTTTATATATTCCTTTAGTTTACAAGTTTAAATTGGGAGAGGATATCTTATTTGCAGCTTAGAATTTTTAATGTCGTAACAGATGTGTTCCCGGTTTGTTGTATTTTTATTAATCTACTTTGGTTGATTTAAGTTTATTTATGTAGATACATAATATCAACGAAAGTTGTACAACAAATATATCATATGGCTTTTACAGCAGTCGGATGGCATGATACATATAGACGCATTATATAACCTATAGAAAATTCTTTACAAATACTAATGATTTTCCATTTACTGCTTGATGTTGTTGTAATTGCTTACTTCTCTCCTTTGAAATGCACTGTCTGTTTAATTTTGTTTTGTTGCATGTCGGCATTAATAGATATTGTTAGAATTATACGGTAAATAATTCCCAATGTTGTTTTTGGTGTGTTGTTTGTTGTTTTTGGGTGGGATGGGGTGATTGTGGGTACGGGGGGAGGGGGCGGGACTTCTGAACAAATTCAATACTATACTTTCATTTTTAAAAAAAACCACACTATTTTTTATAAAAATATATGTAAAATTTAATAGATAACAGTATATTGATATATTGATATATGTATAGTGATTTCCATGACATGTGTAAAATGTCAATCATCTTTCTGTCTTTTAGTGGAAAACGAAATGGCGATGATATCTTGGGTGATTTAAATCTTTCTGACCGATATCAACTCTTGAGATCTTTGATACAGAAAGCAGCAGAAACCAAAGCGTAAGGACGTCAGGTAAAACATTACTTTTGTAAATTCGGTTTGGCCCGATACCCGGTTTGGCTCGGTTCAGCCTCGTTTGTTTTAAAACTGTTACCGAGGATAAGTTAAGATGGGGCCTGGCTGTATGGTTTGGGCATACAACTCAGAATCAGAATGGGTTTTTTTCATATCTATATCTGTGCAAAGAAATCATCGGCACATGTGTGGAAAATGGTACCCGGTGATGTGTACACTGGAAGAAAAAATACAAATAAATCTTGGGTTCACCTCTTCTGGGTCCGCGGCTAAGGGGGCTATGGGTACCCTCAAACCATGTTTGCGGCGGCGCTCCCGGCGGAATTGCCGCTCACGACTCCGCGGAACGTAAAGAGTGTGTTGCCCCGGGCTTGCTTGCTCAAAAATGTTTTGTGGACCCTCTACAGGTCACAATTTTATCTGCTTTTGACGAACCTTTAATTATGGCTTTATATCCCAAAGATCGCAGTTCCTTTCGATATTGGCATGTATCGGATCATAACTTTATGGATTGTGGCGAAATCATTGTACGAAAAATCACGTTTTGGCTTCTGGGCCCCCTAGAGGTCACAATTTTTATCAGATTTTGCTGAAACTTTAAATGTATGTTTATAACTCAAAGATCACGGTTCCTTTCGATATTGCCGCATATCGCACCGTAACTGACATTATTAATACTAGAAGACAGTTGGCCCAACTACAGATAGATCACTATACCACAATCAACTTTGGAGCATTTAGGCCATGACTTTTTTAATCATCCGCCCTGGAATTAATAATTCCGCTACACATTAGATCCCTTGACACGAAATACATTATGCGTCAAAGAATATGGCCAACTAAATAGATCAAAATATGACAATTGGTAGTTAGATCACTTGTGCTCTAGACCCTCCAATTTGACCTGAGAGAAAACACACAATTAGATTCATTGACCTAGCACTAGTTAGTTAAATTTTTCGAGTAATGTGCTGAAAATAGGGATCTCCATTAATTATTTAATATTGTCAATTGTTGGAATGATAACAGGGCTAAGAGGTTGGTTACGGTGATATGTGCGGCGAATATAGCTATATTATTTTTTTAGTATGTGTACTAGTAAGCTACTTCAAATCTGCGTATCGCAAAATTGCAAAGGTCAAACTCAAACAAACTTTGCTAGGCATTGCAAGACGTTGTTGCATGCTGCTCCGTCTGTGTTGGAGAGCGTTCGGAAAAGTCTGAGCCGGGCAATGTGACACGAATTAACCGGTTAAGTAGTAGTTATTAGCACACTTTCCTCGGTGTATCGGTGAATATCAGGACAGTTTTGGTCGAGGGGCCCAGCCGAGGCGGCCCCCGACCAAAACTGTCCTGATATTCACCGATACACCGAGGAAAGGTGCTAATAAGTTACTTACATCACATTTCTATCGAGTATTGTGAAGCAAAATGTGAAAAATAGTATTTATTATCGAGTCGTTTCAACCGAAAAGTGACAAATACTTTCTGCTCTTTCATTATTTATCCCTTTCTGAGCCTCACGTTACATTTCATGGTAGAATGATTTCGCAGTGGAGAGACGACCTGAGTAGTATTTACACGTGCGTCTTGCTATGATACTCTGAGCGTAAAACAATCACGTGTTTCTTTAGACCATATCGTCAAAACAACTTTCTATGGCGTAGAGGACTGCGATATTATTAAATGTAGTGTAAAGGAAATGCGAAACGTGGGTCATTTCTGTTGAAAGTATGCATCGGCGGATGGTTCTTCCGTTGAAATTTATTTGTAATAAAGTTTATGACTTTCTAGGCGTTTTTTTCATCCTGCTTATTTTCAATGCCTGTGAAGTGTCCAGCAAGAGAACTGCGCCTTATATCATCACAATTAATTAAAATAATTATTCAATATTCTAATTTATATATTTTGCATATTAATATAAATCAAACCAAATTATGAAATATATGCCAATTGATATGTATAATAATTGATTTTTGTAATATGTTGTTATGTTAATTTAATGTCATTGTATATGTTTTTGAACTGCCATGTAGTTCCCCCCATTTTGTTTTGTTACTATGATTTTGACTAGTTGTTTCATGTACATTTGTTAGAGGCATGTTACCTACTGCGATCTGGGTCGGACTAAACGTCCGCTACTCATTGCTTGATAGGTATCTTAAACGGTTCAAAAGTATCCGTGTATCTGGAATGAACAGTACTCTTTCTTCACGTTTCTGATACACGTAAACTTTAATGCATGTATTGCAACTAAACAGAACAGTTTTATCAAAGGTTGCCAGTGGCAACGAGTAGAAGCGGGATGTAAGTCAAAAGGAGAATAGTAAGTTGATGGACTGCTTCCAGGTGAGCTTTGTAAAGGGAGACAATCCTTTATAATAACCGTATGGTAAAAATACAGAGACGAACAAAGCAAATTAATGCTAGCGGATTGTCGTTGATGGTAGTTTAGTATGTTTGTGGTTAAATGGTTATGTCTAATCTGTATTTCAATATTTTTTTTCAGATTTCGTTTGATTTTCGAGAGTTAGAATTTTTGATACTCAGCCCAGTTTTTCAGTGACGTCATATTACAAACCACCCTTCTGATGTACAGACTACCAAATTAAACAGACCTTTTATATTTTTATCATGTTTCACTTATTTTGTGATGCATTGCACTACAAAAGAAGAATTACTGGTTATATTGTTAAATATTGATTCTACGATCAAGTATTATATTTACAATGATAGGAATGATGCAATACAATACAATTTATTATTTTATGAATAAGTAGCTTTTGCTTTCAAATTTGTTATAAACAGGGTATCTAAGTGACTTATTTGCTTTTCCTAAATTGGGGTCATATTTTGTTATAACATTCTTTTAAGGATAACGTCGTCTAAACGATCCAACTCATTTGAATTCTGTATTGAAATTCATATTACAGGTAGTCTATTACACCAATTTCTAGTCAAAATGACGCATACCAAAACCACCGAACTACTTTAGCCATTTTATGTGATCCTGGTTTATTTTAGTTATCTGTAACGACTTGCGCATGTCCATTGGGCTATTGAAGATTGTTGGCTTCATTACTTGAATGAACTGAATTTTCTCTAAGCTTAGTGTCGGTCCCACTGTAGATTACTAGCATTTATTTATCTAATCTTTGGCAACATTTTACAAGAAGAAAAAAACCCAAAGAAAGCATTTTAAGTACATGTATTTTTATTGACCACAACAGATATTTTACTTTACAAGACTATTGGTGCAATATTTCTTGTGTTCTTAACCTTCTCTGTTAAATCTTCTTTGGTAGACTTAAATTGGTTTGGTATATTTTTTGTACATTAAAAATCCCTGAAATGCATAATATTCGCCAATAAAATTGTGAACGTTAGTTAAGTATGGAATTTTTTTCTACGTTGAAGGTAAAAATATGGATATGTTTACGTGTATAATCGTATTAAAAGTCAGGAAATGTGTCACTTCTGTTTCCTGACATCTAATAGCTATATTTTCGGATGACGAACAATTACAGTCAGATATACATGTTTATCTTTTTAAGGTATTGGGGGGGGGGGGTATTGGGTACGTTCTGTTTCCTTAAAGGATAGGGTTTAGAGGAGTCTCCATGCCTGATCGTCGTAGTTATCATAGACAGTAAATTATCAGATGATTCGGACTATAATATTAGGGTGGGGTAGGGGAACAAGTGACGTTCCTGTCTTAAGATCAGAGATAGTAAATTATAAGATGATTCGGGCTCTTATTAGGGTGGGGTGGGGGAACAAGTGGTGTACCTGTCGAAAGTTTTTGCCCTGTTTAACCAAATGGATTTCGTTAGAGTTTTTATTTGACCATCAACATCTTTATTACACGGACGTATATTCGGAAGAATATTCCGAAAATGCAGTTATTGGTGCAATAATCTGCAGTTTTTACACCCAAATAATCCAACAACAACATGCCACGTTCATTTTTTTCTGGAGTCGCGGCGGTTCAGTGATTAAGACGCTGGTTTGCTAACCAGTACGTCCGGGGTTCAACGAGTTTTTCTAGCGTGGTTTCCCCTTGTCAGTGGTGCAGGGCGAGTGGTCTGGCAAGGACAGCGTCTAGTCGTTCGGATGGGACGAAAAACCGAGGTCCCGTGTACACATTCGCGTCTACTAAAAAGAACCGTTGAGAGTAGTCGGTAGTAGCGCCGTTGTCCAGACCCATCGACAGTGGATAGTTCTGTGGAACTAAATATCAAGTTCGTTTCACTAAGGGGAATTTCGGGTATTCAGGACCATGTTCTCGTGTATTATTCACCTCGCGATGAAATAATATTGTAGAGCATCAAGATTTAAAGAGACCCTTAAGTTCTCGGTCTGTTAGAGTTCGACATTGTAAAAAATTCAAGCCATTCAATCTATAAGATGTTTGAGATGTAAATAAAAATGAAATGAAATGGGGTTTATGTCCTACTTTTCTGCATAGACTGGGATAATCAAGACGGCTTATGCCATGTAGTGTGCTATGTGGGTCATTAATTTACCCGGACAGTAGCGGCCTACTCGGCTCCCCGAGATGTAATTAAAAGGCATTTGCTGACAGTATGCATGTCAATAAAATGAGAAAAATATTAATATCGCTTTCATTTGATGTCTTAAACTGTAATATCGGAAATTTAAGGTTCCCTTCGAACTACCCCTTCTCGGTCACAAATGCACTGGCTTAGCCTATGTAAAACCCCTCTCCCTATGACTGATTTTGTTGGAAATACCAATAAAAGAAATATATGTTTAATTTTATCGACCATTCACATTGTTAATGCTGTGTGTGGTTGAGTATGTAGGGGGCCCCAATGGACGGCTTTGTCTTGGTGGAGTTTGCAGGGGGGTGGGGGGGGGGCTATATTGAAGTTTGTGGCAGCCCTAGTATGGTGTTTAAGCCACGCGAGGTTTACCCCCAAACATGAACATCAAATCCTGTTAGATACACACAATGGGTGTATACGGAGTTAGCCAGCCTTTCGCGCCCTTCCGTAAAGTCTCGAAGATAACATTAGTCACAAAACTTTTGTCTGGAAATAAAAGAATATCCTTATTGTTGGCATACCATTGGCCATAATATCCGCAACATAATAATTGGCTTGTTAAATTTTGCTACAGACGATAAATGAGCACTAGTGACTTTATCGTAAGGTCATGGGTGACCCCCAGCAATGAATACATAGAAGCTTTTCAAATTATCATTCCAGTTCCTTCCGCTATTCCTATTTCTGTGATCAGAAATTAACATCATTTAAAAAAAAAAGAAGACGCTAAATATAAATGAAAAAGACAGAAAATCACATTTACCTCAGTTTGTGTTCTCTTGAATATTTCGCTGTATTAATGCCCTTAAAAAATCATAGCTATTAGAATCGTCTTCATCTGCACTGTTTCCTCCTGCCCTTTTCTTTTTTCCACTGAAAACAATAGAATGAATATTACAGCTAGTGATATCAGGGATGGATTGAGATGGAGCTTGTGACCCTGTAAAAAAGGTTAACGTTCTCGCGTAGTTTGGGGGTCGTTTTTGATAAATTGGTATGTTTGCCATGCGCTTAATCTGTGCATAAGCTATACACATTAGAATATACTCTAGAAAGTACCATTTACAGTCAGTTTTTCAAAAATTTTCTCGCGCCCCCTAGAGTGGGGGCAACTTTCCGGGCCAGATTTAGGGACCCCTGAAACCAAGTCCGTAACTTGAATAATATGGAACTAAATTGCCACTCAAAATACACTAATACAAACCAGAAAATCCAAAATATCAAAGAGTGAATGCTGAAGACCAATAATTTACAGACCCAGTAGTGGGATGAGACAGGGGCTGTGAGTGATGATAAAAATGTTATTGCTCATCACTGTGTGCAAGTTTGCAATTTGCGAGAAATGAAAATGAAATGAAATGAAATGAAATGAAATGGGGTTTAAGGTCCTACTGTTCTGCTCCTATGCTGGGCTAATGAAGACGGGCATACGCCATACAGTGTGCTATGAGGGAAATTTTGCCCGGGCAGCGGCACTATCGCCTACTCTTATATCGAATTCCAACTGCCAAGGGATCTAATGTATACACGGGACCTCGGTTTTTCGTCTCATCCGAACGACTAGACGCTGTCCTTGCCAGACCACTCGCCCTGCACCACTGACAAGGGGAAACCTTGTCAGGCCCTCCGTCCTGCATCACTGACAAGGGGGAACCACGCCGGAAAACCTGGATGAACTTTCTCGGCCAATGCAGGGATCGAACACCCGACCTCCAGGCTAGCAAGCCAGCGTCTTACCCACTTAGCCACGTGATCCCCCACGCGCGAAATGAAAGGAGGATTAACTTCTTAGATTTTTGCACCAATGCAACGGGTATAGGCCATGCAGAGAGGAATGCGCTACAACTTTCTTTTAATTCGACTTTCAAATGTCAGAGGTTGCCAATGGTATACACAGGAACTTGACTTTTTGTCCAATCTGAACGACTATACATCTTTCCTTGTTCAACCCTCCATACTGCGACACATTCTTGGCCAATATCAGGATCGAACCGAGGCCGTCTGGGTCAGTGCCATAATCACCGAGCACCGTGGCTCCAATTTACGATAAAATCAATATTGAAGATTTAACACCTGTGTCAATCCTTTGAACTAGCAATACTTTAGTATGCCTGGTGCAAATACCGTACGTAATAAATCCTACGAGGTAATGAAAACATAAAACAAAAGGTAAAGTCAACCAAATAGTAAGTGGTCTGTCTAGATTAGAAAGCAGCTTAGGGTGGTGGTGGGCACCCGCTCTTTTTTGGGGGAGGAGAAATCATAGGTGTAGCCTCCCCCCAACCCCAACAAAGATCAGATTCGGTGAATCTTCCATTCGGGCATTGTATTCCCGCTTTTCGGGCATAAACATCAGAGAATGAGATTATAGAAATATAATTGTAAAATGAAATCGCTCGCAGTTTACGTTTTGAATACTATAATACTTAAGACTCCGCAATAACATTTGTGGGAAACTCATTTAGTTTAATGATTGATTCATTCTGAAACAGACCCCAACCCCCGGCCCCCAACGAGCCTGGGCCCCCAACCGACCACTAAAACCCCAACCCACTCCTTTCCGGTGAACCACATTAACAATAAAATACTTATTAATTGAATAGTATGGCCTTCCAGGGCAGAGATCTATTCTCAAAGAAGAATGGTATTTCTCCATGTTTTCAGACGATTTCATTTATTAATGTTATATATGTGCGTTTAAGATTATAACCCCTCAAGGAGAAATGGTATAAAACAGATGAGAAGCCCTCTAATTGCAGAGTGCTGGTCATATTTCTTTCAATGTCATCACAATCTGGTCAAAATTAGTGAGAAACCTTTTTGTAAGTGAGAATACCCATGAGCATACAGATTCCTTTAACATCTTATCCGTACGTCTTTATCATCCGTTTATGAGTGGGGCCGCGGGGTCTTAGTGAGTAAGACGTTTGGTCGCTAACCTAACAGTGTTCGAACCCTGTATTGACAGAGAAAGTTCATCGGGATTTTCCTGCATGGTTCTCCCCTTGTCAGTGGTGAAGGACGGAGGGTAAGGCAATGCCGCCGTCTAGTCTTTCGGATAGGACGAACAACTGAGGTCCCGTGTTGGCGTGCACGTAAAATAACCCTAGACAGTTGGGATTCGAAATAAGAGTAGGCCGTTGTGCCCTTGTCGGGGCACAATTTCCCTCGTAGCACACTATACCGCGTATGCCCGGTCCCATTTCATTCCATTTCTCTTTGTTGGTTACTACCTACATATATTTTTACGCTTTATACAGTAATAAAAAGTTGTAAAATATGCACAAAGACGCACATTCTGGTTGTATAAGAGTAGGTCGTAATGCCACTGTCCAAGCATCATTTCCCTCACAGCACACTGTATGGCGTATACCTATCTTCATTAGCCTAGAACAACAGGCCGTTATTCCCCATTTATTTCATTTACGTTCAGGTATTGGCAATTGATTCCCCGATTCATTCATTCAACATAGTATTGCCTTTATTCCTTCGAGGATAATAAGAAGTGTCTTATTTTCAATCAATAAGAAAATTACAATTTCTGAAACAACATCTCTAACCAACAGGAAAATAAAATTATAGATTTAATTGATGTGATACTGATAAGCCAAAAATAAATTAAATGGTGTGTGCATATTAGCTGTGGTCTATTCACATCTCTTGCAAGGGAGAATAATTATTCCTCCCAATAGCAGCTTCTCCAGAAATTGTATTTTGTCAAATGTACGTATCTCCCACGTAAAACTATTTTGGGTACCATATTTGAATTTATATTCCAATCGATCGTATTATTCAAAGAGATATATGAATTATCGAAA